ATTCTTGGAAGGCAAATATTCTCCTGAAATGCAGGATTTATCCTGGAAGGCAGGAGCTCTACTAGAAGGCAAGGTGCAAAGATGGAAAAACGACTTGTTTGGCACTTTGGCAGATCAGTTGGGGGCTCTTGAGCACTGGTCAGTTTGGGGTACAACCTGCGGTTTAACTTGTCTGCAACTTGAGGGGCCAAGGTGTAGACTCCAGGATTTAGTCACTATAAGGTGGATACCTAGATAAAAAAAAAAAAGAATGAGTTATATATGACAGATGCGAAGTAATAAAGATCACAACAAAGAAATAAAATTAAAAGTAAAAAAATAAACAAAGAGAATTTATAGCAGATGAACCATGTATTATAAATTGACAATATGAAGAGAAATTACAGATACAGCAATATTGCTTAAAAAAAACTGATGGAAGAGCGTTGTATTTATAGGCTACGTTTCAAATCCTAAAAGAGTTCTAAAAGATAAGAAAATATATTACAATTAGAAGAACCAATTTTAATGGGATTTTGTTTCCTTGTTATTGAATGTAATTAGACTCATTTCCAACACCAATAACACGCGATTCAAGACTCCTACTTAAGTCACAACTCTAACAGTTTAACACCTTTACGGCAGACAAATCAAAGATGACTCAACACTTGAGTGAGCAAGGCAGTTGCTTCAAGCATTTAAATTTTAAAAACTTACAAATTTTGTTAATTTTCTACTCCTTTAAGAGCCTCCTGCCTAATTACTTGAACAATCTGGGAGTAGATCAAACCCATTGTTAGGGAAAGACCAAAGAGCGTCATTCTAGTGAAAAATGTTACTATGCGTGCATAGTTATAAACTGTAGTAATAAATTGGAGAAAATTGTTCCAATAGTCACTAGACTTAGGTTCATATCTTTGATTGATCAATGAAATTTAAAATGTCAAATTTTGGTCATAAGTCCATATTTTCGATTACTCATTGAAATTTAAAATGTCGAATTTTGGTCACAAAAAACTTGATATTTTTCAAAATTCAACATTTACGTTAGTCAGTAACATATTGCATTTTTCAAAATTCAGTGGCCAAAACTTGACATTTTAAATTTTGGTGAGCAATCAAAGACATGAACCTAAGTTCAGTAATCAAAACTCGACATTTTAAATTTCAGTGACCAATCAAAGACATGAGCCTAACTTTAACGACCATTAGAACAATTAATTCAATAAATTGTAATGTTTAATATTTTTATGTACATGAAAAAGAAAATATTTCCACGAACCACCTTAAACCATTGCCATAAAATTGGAAAAAATTTACACATAACTAAAAAATTACAACTAGTAGTTCCAAAATTTCATAAAATATAAAAGAACTAAGAAAAATAACAAAAATAGAAAAAAATACCCAAATTTTTCCAAGAAGCAGGTGTAGGAAGCTCCATTGACACGACCTCATCGCTCTGAGCCTTGCCCATTCTTATTACCTGCAAATCAACAACAAAATCACCCCTCAAAGTACAACGATACTCTTTCTCACACTCGATAAGAAGCACAATCCACCAATCTCTAGACTGGAAAAGATGCAATCCACCCTCTGGCCTCTAGGACCTGCCTTCTACGGATGGGTCTTCAAGTATTAGAATAAAGCAGGGTAGAGGATATTCCTTTATTGAGTTTTCTAGAAATCCATTTTTGCAGATTTGGATACTATTGATCCTGTTCAGATTGTGAATTTCATTCGAATATAGGGGAAAAATGAATAGAATAAACAAACTTTTTAAATGGAATTTATTCATTGAAAGCTTCGCTACCTCGCTCTAACGCTCATTTAGAAAATTTTGACCTCGTTGCTTTCGTTCCGATTACCACTTGGGCTTTTTTGAGCAGTTGGTTACTTCATTCAACAATTCTTTCAACGAAGACCCAATCACTCTTTTTGTAGAAATTTTTTGGATGCACCTCTCCTTTTCATGTATAGCAGTTGTCAAAGTTCAAATAGAAGGTATTAGAAATGACCTCTTTGATGGGGCATTACCGACGTTAGCGACGAAGGGATTGTTTGTAAGAGAAGGTTGTCCAGTTGAATTTTTAACTTGTTCTCCTCTTACTTAGCAGGCAAAGATTTACCTTCGCGAAAATTATGATTCATTGGACTAGTGCATAACAAATTCAAGCAAACAAATTAGAATGGGTTGTTGTGGGTATGTCTTGGAGGCTCCGGCATTTATGTGAAAGAAAAAAGAAGAGAAAATAAATGAAGAGAGTATTTGAGTTTGCGTGTGAAATTGGATGAGGTGATGAGTGTGTGTGGAAGGAAAAAAGCATGTAAAATGGAAATGAGTTGATGTTGTGTGATAAAAAAAATAAAATAAAATAAAATAAAATAAAATAATAATAATAATAATAATAATAATAATAATGATGTTGACAGTGGTTAGAGGTTGACACGTGTCATCTTTGAACAGTAACAAATTTTAACCTCTTTTATATCTGTAGAAATGGCCGGAACATAGCTATTTGCCACAAAATCCGCAGGGATCTATTCAATTAATTGGGCCAATAGTCGAGTTTATGGAGTTTCTCAAGATTGACTCACCTCACCTCAAATTCAACATTGTGTTTGGAGTATGAGATATCAAGTCATTAAATGAACAGTCTGCATTTATTTTTATTTTTTTTAAAAAAATCTTGGGAGAAAAACATATATATATATATATATATATATATTCCTCTCATCCCATATCTCTAGATATGAAACTATCTTTTTAGGTAAAAACGTTGTAGGATACAACAAATTATTAATAATAAATTATTTTAATCGAGTGATGTTAATGTAACTATGTCTCTATTTGACCTTTATTTTTACATTTATTTTTAACTATACATTTAGTGAGACTCATAATTATTATCAACTTTTCAATTATATATTTTAAAATTTTTTAATAAAATCTAATAAAAATTATTTTTTAATTCCTCTCTTTTTTTTTTGGTCGAAAATGAGTTTGGTATTAGTGATTTTTTTAGAGAATGTGTGCTTTAAAAAGAAGAAGAGAATTTCCTATTGAATGCTCGCCCTCCAATAAATTTATTGAAATTGGCTTTATATTAATGAAATTTATCACCCATACATATTAAATTGGTGTGGGATATTCATATCATAAATATTAACAATTCTTTTTGAGATAAAAACTTGTACGGAAAAAATAGATTTGTATGAAATCAAAAAATATAATTCTAAAATTTGTGTAAGAATTAAAAGGTGAATGCGCAAATAGAGGGCCCACCACTAATATTGATGCAAAGGGGAGCTAAGTTATTTTATTTCTCTAGGGAAAAAAATTTGAGATCAATTTTATAAGGTGTTTCTACCATTTAAAAATGGGGTTAATTTCACAAATGGTCATTGAATTTATCGAAAAATTACAAAATGGTCACTGAAGTTTAAAACTTTCACTAACGGTCATTGAACTTACATGCGGTTACACTAATGGTCACTTAAGTTTCAAAACTTTCACAAATGGTCACTCATGTGGACCTTTCCGGTATTTCTTCATATTTAAGGCCTAAAACACCTAAGGGACCATACTTTGAGGGCACCCATGTGCAAATATGGAAGTGGTGCCCTGGAGCCATGTTCCGTCTGCCATTTCTGGCTTGCTGGCGCCCAGCTTTCTGTTTGTTAATATATACACATATATACATATATATAGCTAGACGTGGGGGGTAAAGATTTTAAAGATGCATGTGCATTAACCCAAATTTTATCTGATTATTACCTCTTTTTGAAACAACTTTGTATCACTAGAAAATTGAATATGACCATTTCTGTTGATGATAAAAATGAAGTTACCATAATTTTGAAGACTTAGTTGGATAGGGTATCAACATGCATCAAGAAGCAACTATGGCTCTTTGTCTAGAATTTGACAACTCAACCATCAAAAATCATTACAATACATATGGAGCTACTGTCATTTAAATTGTTTTTACGCCGGACAAACATGGAATCCTACTTCTTGGGTATCATTCCACCAATATTCCATCAAAAAGGTATAAAGACAAAAAGCTATAAATATATTTATACAGTACGACCTGCCAGCCATTCTGTGTATAAAGACAAGAAGCTATAATTATGTTCCACATTTCACCAAAAAAAAAATGACTATGACAAAAAGAAGTGGACACAATTACAATAGAGTTCGTTGACAAAAAAACATATAATACTGTCAGACATTCTATGTACAAAGACAAGAAGCTATAAATATGTTCCACATTTCACTAAAAAAAATGACTATGACAAAAAGAAGTGGACATAATTACAATAGAGTTCGTTGACAAAAAACATATAATAGAACAGGCATCATTTCGTTATCAAGTTGTTCCATGCTTCGCTAAGAGTTTGTCTAGCACTATAGTAGGCTGGGAAAGTAAATGCCGCGCTACACCTTGTTCAATTCTAGCAGTAGTAGTCAGCTGTGAATGGGCAAATTGCTGTCAAACATTTTCTCCTGCAGCTTCCCAGGCTCTTGGACCATTCATGTCCTACAATTTATGAAAAAGAATGTCAATGAACATAATAAATAAAACAAAAAAGATATACATATATGACTATGACTTAGTATATACCTCGTTTGTCGTATAGCTTGCTTGCGAAGCATGGTTCGAGTGATATCTTTTATTATGTCCCTTTTGACCGCAAATACTACATTTTAATTTTTTCTTGCCATCTCCTCTCCTATCAAGCTCCCTCATCTTCTCTTTGGACAATACAGCTTCCTCGACCCCTCTTCGGCACTTTGTCTGCTTCCTACCTCTTTTTTTGGTCACCCAAGTTTGGGATTTCATCGGGACAAAGCCACTCGAAGGCCACATTGTTGGTCCATTTATAGGGTATATGCAATGCCCGTAAGCTTTTAAGTAAGTTGCAACTTTGTAGCTCTCGTCCAAAAATTGCAAAGGATCCTTACCCCACTCACGGATGCCGGCTATTGCGTGTGGACAAGGCACACCAGTTAGATCTCACTTTTCTACATGAGCATGTCCTGTTTGTAAATCTACCACAAACTGACCATCGGAATACGGTCCAGAAACTTGAAATTGCATTTTCCCATTGAATATTGCTTTCCATGAAAATGAATCACGTATACTACTTTCAAGTTTCTTTAAAATTTTTGGACATATATCGCTCGAACTCCTTGCCATGAAATCATGGCATTTGTACATCCGCACCATCACCTTGTTTTGAATTGACTGAAGGAGAGTCAAAATATCCTTCCCCTTTGCTTCCTTTATGTAGTTGTTAAAGCATTCGTAGAGATTGTTTAATAAAATGTCACATTTGGAAGCCGTCATGAAGTGGGACTTAGACCATTGCTCAGCCGGTTTAGCACATAACCACTCCCAGGCAGGTTTCTTCTCTTCCTTAATCTTGTCCATCCAACCTGTGAACTCAGCCAAATAAGTGGACTTAGCTGCTCTCCACAACAAATCCCTAAGTGTCAACGATTTAAAGTCTTTGCGAAAGAAGTTGGAGTACATATGCCTTACACAAAATCGATACTTAGCCATTGGAAACAACTCGGACACCATATTGTCCGACCCTTTTTGTCTGTCAGACATAATTATGACTCCATATGCATTTTCGAGCATCAAATCTTCCCCCAATAGTTTCAAGAACCATGACCAACTAGCATTACTTTCAGTTTCGACAATGGCATGCGCAATTGGGAATATACAATCTTTCCCATCAATACCCACCAAAGCAAGTAACTGATCACCAAAATTACCTTTCAAGAAGCACCCATCTATGCAAATAACGGGTCTACAACCACCTAAGAAGCCCTTTTTGCAAGCATCAAAGCAAACATAAATTGCCTTAAACACAAGCTCGTCTAAAGATAGAATAACGATTGATCTTGGGTTTGTTCTCCTAACCTCAGCTGCATACAAATCCAACAAAAGAAATTGCCCAACTAGCGATCCTCCAAGCAACCCTTTAGCGTATCTCCTAGCCCTCCACGCCTTTGCGTCGCTAATCTCTACACCATGCTCTTTCAAAACAGTTGTCTTAAACAATTTCACATCCCACTTTAGCGCAATAGTATAGGTCTCAATGTACGTATGGGCTAACCAACTGGCGAATACACTTATATTATTGAATGCTCTACTACAAGTATGATTCCATTCGAACGACTTAATCTGCCATGCGGAATCTTCCTCCAACGGCGAAGCCCAAATACGCCATGGACACTTTTTATCTTTGCAACGATCGTCTAATCTGTGTCTATCATTATATGGGAAGTGCACCTCAAACCTATTAGCAATGCTGAAGTTTTTAACCACAACCTTTAACTCCTTTTTCAACCTAAACTTCAGTCCTACCTCAAGCACGGGATCCACCATATCTACATCACCTTCAAATTCTGGGTATGTAACAACTTCATCACTATCAGAATGAATGCTTCGAATGTCATCTGAGGGTGCATATTCAGAATTGTCAGATTCATCTGCTGCTTCCAACAAATTCCCCACATCGAGTTCAACATTCTGGGAAACATTTCCCGCAAAGAGCATGTCGTCTTCTTCCCCAGGGCTATAAATATAATCGGAATAATTGAAGGTAATGTCTTCTTTATCCGAATCATTGTTGAAATAACCTAGACAGTGGGGGATTACCGTATCATCATCCTATTAAATAAAAATTGAACAATAATTACATGATTGACACTTGAATAAAATTATAATTATCGCAAATAAAATTTCTCCATAAAACCCGAAATAATCAAATACAGACAAAAAATGCTTAACTTTTGTTTCAGAAGCATTATGATTTCTTCATGTCTTCACTATATACAATTCAACAGTAGCAAATCAGTTGAATATTTGTTTCATATGTATTGAGAATGGCTTAACTTTTTACCTCCAAATATGAATTATTCTTACATTCTATAGTTTTTTCTTTCCTTGAATCTTTAACAAATAGTCTAAAGGCAAGATGATTTTTATGAATTGCATTCCATATGTAAACGGGTTAAATGACTTGCATTGCTAAGAAACCCCCAAATCAAATAGTCATAAACTGTGGAAATAATCAAATATGATTATTCTGAAAAATAATCACGGGTTCAAATATTCAAATACAGACAAAAAAAGGTTGAAAAAGAAGTGCTAACCTTCATCTTGTTCCTCCACATCAGACATTTCGAATAAATTTCGGAATATTGTGGTCCCCACTCTTCGATTTTGCCCGAAATCTCCCAAGAAAGTTGAAGAAACCCTCCACAGGCTTGGACCACTTTTTATCTAACGGGTTTACCAAAATGATTGAGGGTTTGGTGTTTTATTGTTCAATAATCGCACCTAGGGTCCTCAAATTATAGTTCCTTGTGTGTTTTAGGCCTTAGGTATGAATAAATAGCGAAAAGGTCCACATGAGTGACCATTTGTGAAAGTTTTGAAACTTAAGTGACCATTAGTGTAACCGTCCGTAAGTTTAATGACGGTTAGTGAAAGTTTTAAACTTCAGTGACCGTTTTGTAATTTTTCGATAAATTCAGTGACCATTTGTGAAATTAACCCATTAAAAATGCCACCCAAATTTTAACGTGCTATGATAGTGCACGAGCTTTGAGTGGGAATGCTCAGTGCTGCCTTATCATGAACAAATTCCAATTTTTTCCCCAGGTTTCATTCAAAAAATCCATTATTCTACTGTTATAGACAGCAATTGGGAGAGATTGAGAGAAGCTGAAACCGAAACTGAAACCGAAGCTGTGTTGGAAAATGGCTGCGACTAATTATTGTTCAAGCCCTGTGCTGCATCGTTTGAATGAGATTTCCTGTTTTGGTTGTCCTGCTTCATCTACTGCTCGTATCTCCATTGCTAAGAAAAAAGGGTATTCATTCAGGTACTCATTTTCCCCATTCAACCCACCGTTAAAAAAATGGACTTGCTTTGTCATTGATTAATTTGGTGCCATCCGTGTAGTTCTATATGTTAATTTTTCAAGCGCCATGTTTCTGTATGACTCGTTGTAGGATTTTGAATGTAGACAAAATGTTGAGCTACTGAATTTGATGGAGCTTTTGGGATTATGACTGGTGCTACTGCTATTGAATCTGCTGTTCTTGTTCTACAGACTAAAATTCACGGTGCATCAATAGATAGACTTACGGAATTGAACTTTACTCTGAGTTCTGGATTTGGATTAACAATTCTCTTGTTACTTTCTTCATAGATTCGATCCACATGATGAGGATCGAGCTATCTGGACCATTCCCGATGTAGCATCCGGCCAACATCTAGTAGATGACTGGGGTCTTACAACCTATAATAATTTTCTGGGAGAGGGAAAAAAAAAGGATGTATGTCATATAACATTAATTAAGAGGGTCACATTTGATTGCATTTCGTAAATTTGCCTTTCAGTTTCCAACCTCAAATATTAGTGGGAGAAACTAGGAACCAACTAAAATCTACTTTCGGGAGAAATTTGTTAAACTTTAGAAGGCCAATCTCTGGGCATATGCCAAATGATTATACACCAGGTTAAGCAAGACAAATGTCATTTGGGCAACCAAGAATTAAAATCTGAAGTTGGTGAGATTTTGAGCAGAATTGTTGAGCTGTTAGACTGAATGTTTGGAAAATTCTATCCAGCTACAGAGGCCATTTCCCAGCGATTAACATGCTGAATGCATGTGAGATTTTTATCAAATAACAGAATTCAACATATTCAAGTCCTAAATAAATTACAGAAGCAAGAGGAAATTACAGAATATATCATTCATGATACCTTCCAAGCTTCTACTACAGCTACAGGGCCTAGGGTTCTATCCCAAAAGTTTAACCTATTAGGTGGAGTAGCTCAAGCCTTTTTATACCCATTGTCTATGGGATCATGGTCATTGACTTCACACTTATGCTGATCTAATAAAACTCAATGAAATGAGAAAGAATGGGAACAGATGTTTCTTGCATTTCATAGTTTTATTGAATACCATCAATATTCAGCATGTTTGCATTATTTCCATTGACAAGCATAAACTAAATTGCATATTCTCTTTTTCTTCGTATCTTCTTTTTCTCTTTAAATCACTTTAAGTCCTATCTATACAGCTGTACTTCTTGAAATTATTGCAAATCACTCCATTCTTAAATCTTAGGCATTTGGAAATTTTTTTCTTTTCCACTTGTGCTTGGGTTTTTATAAAACGGGATCTTAAAAATTAATGCTTTTGTTTGTTATTTGTAACCTTCATTATGAAATCTAGCATATGTGATGGTTATATGCTTCATTTATTATTTCCTGAAAATCACTCCATTCTTAGGCATTTGCAATTTTATTTATTTATTTATTTTTTTCCCTTTTTCACTTGTGCTTGGGTTTTTATAAACTAGATCTTAAAAATGAATACTTTTTGTTTGTTATTTGTAACCATCATTATGAAATCTAGCATATGTGATGGTCTTATGCTTCTTTTTTTTTTGTGACAAATAGATTTAACAACATAAGCAACCGGAGTATCTTATTTTGTAATTTGTATGTGTAGGTTGATTACCCCCTTTCCAATTCATTCTTTTAGTGGGAAACTCAACGGGCAAAAACACAAGTGTCATGTTTACATAATATTAACAAGCAGAATGACATTGTGTGGGTTAGATAATATGCTCATTATGATCTTTATCTTTTTTTGATAGTAGTGCTCTATGCAAAAATATATATAAGCCAATTCATTTTTAATACCATAACCAATATGAAATGATGCATGCCTGGTGCCAGTACGAAACATTAAACTAGGTTCAGTCATTTGGCGATGAAACTGGCATTGTGCCTCCATGATTTAAGTGACCTATACTTTTCCCTTCTATGTCTTCTTGTTGGCGATTCAAGTGAAGGTAGCTTAGACTATGTTTCTCATCTTCCATGATTTTCTACACCATTTCACTTGAGTAATTGGGGAGATCTTCTGGTAGGCTGAAAGTATGTCTGTAAACACAAAGGGAAAGCAGGGTGGTTGGAACATGATTCTCTTTGGCAAAAGATATTCAGAAGTATGGTTTACAACAAATTTATTGGATGGTGGAACCACTTATAACTTTAGTTATGAGAGTCCTTAAGAAGTTTGTTTTTCAGTTGTATCCTCTCCTCCTTCCACTTTTATGCTTAGATGTAAGTAATGAATGGCTGCTGGAAGGTTACATGATTGAGTGACTTTTGTGTTAAATATTTGCGTTGTTGGTCTTCATTTTTAACACTAGCTGAGCTTTCGTATATTTTTCTGCGATTGTAATGATAGTAGAACCTAGCATTTATCATCAGCGAGCCTTCATCTTTCTTCTTTTATTAAATTTAGACCCTTGAGTGATCTGGCATTCTTGCTTGCTTGTCATTTTTCCTTATCTATCTGTTCCAATAGATATTGCTCTAGATCCACGTGACTTCACCATAAATAGGCACCTAACATACCTGACCCAATCTTTACCCTGGAGCTTAAGTTATTAGGTGTTGTCCATCAGAGAGATGAGCTCACTTTATGAACATGGGACAATTTTTTCTCTAATCTTTGCAAGCTTATTCCTTCTGGTGGTTTGTTTTTATTTGATGTGCAAAGGTGTTTTGTTTTACGTTTCTTCTTTCTTATTTTATGTTGAGAACTTCTATATTATTTGTACATCTTATTAACAAAATCCATATTTTTTAAAAGGAAAACGAATAATTTTTTCCCTTTTTCCTCACTTTCAATGTGAAGTGGGAAAAATTGAAGGAATCGGTGGAATGAAGAGGTTCATGACATGTCAGTTGGGTCTATTGATCTTGTTGGTATTTCTTCTTGACGTTGAATTTCAGTTTATTTTGTGTTAGTGCTGAACTTTCCAGCCAATCATGATATAAATGAAAAGGAAAAGTGTGTTGATTTTAATGTCTGGAGAGCAGATGGTATAATAATAAAGTTCGTTTATGATGAAAATTTGATGAGTTGAAACTCCTAGGTCATATAGTGATAATTTTTACTGTATACAGGTGCCAGTCATCCACAAATACTGATGAATCCAAAACAACAAAAACTACGAATCTATTAGACAATGCAAGTAACCTGCTGACTAATTTCTTAAGTGGAGGAAAGATTGGATCTATGCCTACAGCTGAAGGTGCAGTTTCTGATCTTTTCAGTCGGCCACTTTTCTTCTCCTTGTATGACTGGTTCCTAGAGGTACTTTACCGCGATCTTTGCTTTATATGGTTGTCATAATCAGTAACCATTTGTCGATGTCGCTTGTACTTCTACTATCCAGTCACTAACGTGGAATCTAATTGGTCTTCTTGTTTGTTCATTGTGTTTTTGCATGCTGACAAACTCTACTACAGGTGATTTTTTCATACTATATATTTTTGACAGATCTATAAAACAATTTGAGAGAGGAAACCGAACCTCGTTCTGCTTCATGCCAAAGTGATTGGCTTGATACCTGTTTTTATGTGTGTTCAGATGGGCCACTCCCAAGTCCCGTCCCACCCTAATATATTATCTCTTTTAGCCTGTGACCTAATAGAATGGTTTCCCATTTCACAAGGGATTTCCATTATGTCTGATTTCTTCTTGATTTTGGACTACACAGCATGGCTCTGTATATAAACTTGCTTTTGGGCCAAAAGCATTTGTTGTTGTATCAGATCCCATTGTCGCGCGGCACGTTCTTCGTGAAAATGCATTTTCCTATGACAAGGTATGATCTGATTCTATAATCCTCTTCGATCTCTATTTTTTAAGATCTCGCAATTAGGAAAATTCTCTCTTGTCAATTTGTGAGGTTATTAAACATTAATGGCTTTTCAAGATTTGTTACATCTTGCTTTCATTCCTGCATTTTAAACTACATTTGAATTATTCTATTCATTTTTCCAAGTTTTAATTTATTCATCAATTTTTCTGATTAAATCCTTGTTCGATTTTGATTTTTTCAAAGTCACTTTTCTTCAGATTCATTTTCAACCACACATTCTCCTAATAAAATAATTTTTCACGTTGACCCATAACTTTTCCATACTTTTTAACCACATATTTTCCAAAAAAGTCATTTCACAAAAACTAAAAATCAAACGAGCCCTAAATTATTATTCATTAAGCTGATTCAATGAAACTGAAATTCATAATTCTTTTGATCATAACATACCGAGAATATAAATTTCTTTTCTGTA